GCCGTAGACTCTGAACTCACGCAGATCAGATGCCGATACAAATTAAACTGATCTATAAACCAGTTTACTGATCTGCAGATCATTAACTATGACAACTGTATACTGATTTCATATTCTAGTTATAAGCAACCAAGACAGTGGCCAATATTACAACTATACAGCAGTGGAAGAACTTAGTTTTCTAAACTAATATTGCAAATAGAATTTGTATTTTTATAAATATTGAAATAACTCAAAAACTACTGAGGCGATTTTAAAAATTCTTTCACCGTTAAAAAGTTACGTTATCAGTGAGTAACATAGGTTATACTTTTGTACAATAATTTTAATTTCTGAATCTGAATTGATTAGTAAAAGTTACCGGATGATGTGGCGGCGGCGGGCCGTGTCTGTCCTTCATGACGCCGGGCGGCGGCGGACCCCCGCTGCCGAACTCCATGTCTGGAACCAAATATATTGATAATTAGATAAAAAGCGTCTATATACCTAATGGTTAATGGCAAAGAATTGTGATCATAATCAAAAGTTCGAATCGTTGCCAAGATCTTAGTTGGAATTGAAAAAATATTAGTAAATTAACAAAAATCTGCTTTGATTTTATTAAAAATAGTATTCCTAACTATAGAATTGTAGTTCCCTGACTTCTCTCGTATCTAGAAAACAGGAAAGATTTTATTGTTTGCATCAAATATCTTATGAAACTACTGAACCGATTTTTAAATTTTTGCACTGTTTGAAAGCAACACTAACCCTGATTGACATAGGCGATCTTAATTACTAGTTTTTTTTTTCAATTCCGCGCGAAATGTCACAACAATAGCTAAATGTTTGCTAAATTTAAAGTCATAAAATTAAAATTAAACGAAATAAATCATACGCACATTACTTATAGTCAATATTGTTTACAGAGATGAGTTCGCAATAATAAAAAAACTTAATTTAACTGTAAAATACGCATCAAAACATGAACTTAAACGCATCTTAATATCAAGTTGTCTGACACTACGAATGCAGCGGAAACGCTTCTAACCGTCGACTTCCACGGCATCTATACAATCGCTTATCTCTATTTTATCAAAGAGTATAGAGATGAAAATATTTTTATACCAGTGTAAACACTGTGGAAACTCATTATACCGTACTAAAGTTTGAGAGCGCGCTTTGAGAAAACTATCGCACAACTGTTATCTCGCTTTGATTCTTATGATATATGGAGCGCACACTACTCGATTTTTAGTTGTGCTACTAAACAGCCTGCGAAACAATCGACAATCGCACAACAGTTGTGTGACAGTTTAGTCATAGATGTGCCCCCGCTTCTAACAAGACTACGTGCGTGTCCACTCGCTGAATGACGCAGATGTAAGGCAGAAAAAAACCGGTTAAAACCGGAACAGCCAGTGAACAAAGTTAGGGTTCACATGACGCAAGTTATTCTATTTAAAAAAAAAATCATTTACCCTTAATTCGACGGAGATTTTTGTAGTAAAACAAACTGATTTTTTTGGATATCAAATAAACTAGTTCAGTAGATTTTTTTAAAGTAGCTCGTAATAGCGAAAATAAGGGTTAAAAATTGTTAAAAGCTCGGTTATTGTACTGTTTATGTACTCAACTAAAGTGTTAGAATTATGTTAATAGTAATCTAAGCATAAATACTAACACAAAACACTTTAAAATAATCATATTAAAAATGTCTGTTTTCACTGCTAGAACACATAAAAACACATTTTTGTAAGTGTGTTCTGTCAGTAAAAACCCACGGTTACACATGTCATGCATATAGGGAGTGTTTTAGAAATCAAAGTCGTGTATTTTGTTGTATATTTTATTGTGTTCATGTAACTAAATAAATACATCATATTTAAAAAAAATTACATTGTAATATAAAAAGAATCATTTTTATTTAATACTAGCTGTTCCCATGCGACTTCATCCGCGTAAAATTATAAAAAATCATTTTATTGTTCACATTTGTCAAATTATCAATTGCAAATGTCAAAATGACATGACATGATGTCAAACTAGGCAACCTTGCTTCCTTGATGTTGGCAACAACTTATTGTCTCTTTCCCACATTAGGGTTTTTATCCAAAATATTTACCCCTAAGTTTAACGGCGTGAAAATATATAGCCTAAAGCGTGACGTAAGTGTAGGGCTTTTTATTAAAAAAAGAGTTATTCGAAAATATGCTGTGATTGCTGACATCTTAGGCAACAAAGAAGTGTGTGTTTACGCTTTATTACAATAGTATAGATTTAATAAAATGTGTTTGATAATTGAATACTAAATTATAATTTTAATGAAATTAAAATCGAAATAAGAACGTACGTAATATGTGAAAAAATACAGGATGTCCATAAAATAGCCAATTTTCAGACATCCTGTATAAAAACCTAAATGAGTGTAAAATCAACGTTGCTTTTAAATGAGTAAAGTAATCAAGTAACTAAAACAATTTCACAAACCATCATTTAAAGTCACTTGACCGACTTGAATTTAACTTCGAACGATTGACAAATATTTATTTTGGCAACTTTATAACCTCGATCCAGTTAAAATGTTAAAACTTACAGATTTAAATAAACAGAAAAAACGAATCTGTAAATTTAGCCATTCGGAATTATAATGCTATCTACGGACATCCGATATTCTTTGAAGGAAAACATGGTGATGCCTGAACATATCTGCATATCATTATCAACTTGCCCTTATCCCTTACGGAGGGTCGGCACAGTATGTGCTGCTTCCATACATCTCTATCAGCCGTCATATCTGAATCCACTCCTTTCTTAAGCATATCTTTCACACAATCCATCCATACTTTCTTCGGTCTTCCTCTTCCTTTGTAGCCATCCACATTCAATCTTAACACTTTCTGGTTTATGTCCCCATCGTTTCGTCGCATAACCATACCACGCTAACCTTTTGCTTCTCATATCTGAACATAACAATAAAAAGATGCGTGCAGTCTGAGCCAAAGTACTCAGTACTAGTCCTTAACTTAGTGTTGGCTTCTGCCCCTTGGTGTTTTGTATAAACTGAAGACAAATACTAACAACATTTCAGAACAATCTTGTATTTTGTAGTGCAACAAGTCTTTAGTATAAAATGTATTGTTCGTTACTGATTTGTCGAAGGCACTTAGGCTCGTGCTGAAATAAAATAAACTGTTAGTACTCGTACATACAAAACAAACACTATAGAGTAAGGAAAGGATAAAATAGAGCAAATATTTGTAAGCGGAGATGAAGACATGTAAATCAAAACTTGAACTGAAAAGGGTTTATTCCGTTAACATTACAAGTTCCAAAAATTAAGAGAAATTTAGAAACATCCTTAAAATATGTTTATAAACACAAAAGGACATTTAAACAAGATTCAACAATGCTTACCATATGGTCTTTCAATTTAGTATGAATTTGATGTATTTTAAAAGGCAAAAGATTTTGTAGAAACCAAAACTAACTAAGAAATATAGCAATAATAATACTTAAAAACCAGCAAAATGTTAAAAGAAGTTTACAAAGATTAGGGATTAAATTTATCCTTACCTTCTTGTATTATAACAAACACATAACTACGAAAAACAAGCAAAAGTCAACCCAAGCATATTCACACTATTTGAAGTCTATTCTATCCAACGCATGGACGTGATTAGTCAAGCTAAACTCAGCATACATTAAGGCTACACTAAGGTACAAACCGCTCTGTGTTTGGTCACAAGAATGTTGACTGCAGGAATCTTCACTGCCACACCTGGCCGTGGACTGAGCGGCGCAGCTTGAGGCATCTGTAGAGTTGTCCGATAAATCGGTAACACAAAACTCATAAACCGATTTCTTAATTGGACATTTGTGTTATACAATGTTGTAATTGTTGATCATTTATGTTGTAAAACATCGTAGTTGCTGTTGCTGTTGCAATCATGTTCAACAATGTCACAATTGTTGTTCGTTTATGTTGTACAATATCAAAAGTGTTGTTCAGTTTTGTTGTACATCATAATTTTTATTAATCTGTGTTGTAAAATATCGTAATTGTTGTCCATTTATATTGTACAATATTGTTATTGTTGTTCAATCGTGTTCAACAATATAGTAATTGTTGTTATAAGTTGTACAATGTCCTTCACTCCGAATCTGTTATTGTATTGTTCTGTTTAAAGTTATATTAAATCTCTCTACATTTGTATCTCTTAATTGTTTGAATCTTACTTTTCTCTTTTTATATTTCCATGTTGCAATTCTGTGTGTACTTTGTTAGTAAGTTAATAAGGTTGAGTATTCTTGTGTCCGGTTCATTCCTCAAGGCAAACATATAGTTCTTTTCAAATATCTTAGCAGTGACAGGTCATAGATGTACGCAGTAACCTCTCCCGCACCCCGCTAAACTAAACTAGAACTAAAATTGTGTTTCGTAACTCGCGGTAAAATATTTGACAGCTAATTTGCTGAAATAAGTTCAAATCAAGTACGATTTTCATCCTCTTTTGTCTTGAAAATGGATAATTAAAATACACACAAATACTCTTAATTATCTCAGTGTTTAGTATACATATATATACAAAACCTACAGTGTAACTCTACATGTATATTTGAAGCGCGAATTCCATTATTGTAACTCATGGTGATGCACTGAACGGGACTAATTGTTTAAAAGCATATGTGGCGTGCCGATACAGTAAAAGCTATTCCATACTCTATAACTATGAAATATGATATTGAAAATCTGCAATACGCGTTGTCGATGGATTTATTTTTCATATAAAGAACAATAAATCAGGACTACGTCAGTTTTATTGCTAAATAACACAGTTTTTGGGCGAAAGTACGGTCGGGGAATTTCGCGGCCCACCTTAGATACAACCGCTTCAACGTTTTGTAACTATCCCGTTGTTTCCGCACTGCTATCTAATTGGGTATTGATTAGGGGCGGAATTTGTCTCGTTGCAATTTTACAACTGTACATCCTAAAAAAAATATTCCTTACGGTAGAACTCCACTGCTATAACACTTGCGTTAATAAATAAAAAAAAACGTATTAAAACGGGCTTTAGTACTTCATGTTTCTAGTGACTTTACAACGAATGAAAACAAACTATCGCAGTTGGAAAGCGGATCGTAACTTTGAATGTCCGCCGCTACATGGACACTTTGACCATTGAGAACAGGACTAGGCAAAAAGAGAGTGTACAAAACAACCTATGCCACTGTTCTGGAGGTGAAGGCTTGGGCCTTTATAGGTCACCAGCCAGTTCTATCCGGATGTCCATTTTACATTTTTCGATTCATTACAGAAGGGGAAGGTGGAACCAGCCTCAGCCATTTTTGCCGACGCCCATGGGCGAATTAGACAGTAACGCATGTGCACATTACGCTGAGACATAAAATTGAGAACTTATTCGTTTTTATTTAACAGATGAGAACGTGCGCGATTGACAGATCCTGTCTCTTAATATTCAAAACAACCGCTACATGGTCTCGTATTAAGCCGGGTATTAACGTTTTTATTAAAGCTGTCATATTTCGAGTTCCTTTTTTAAATTCTATTATACGAGAATACCATAGGAAAAACAATATAAGCAAGAATCAAATACAAATACTGTAATACTTTTCACTTAGTAGTTTGCAAACATGATACAGTTTAATTCAAAACCATTGCGTTGTTAGCGCACGACTAAAATTCATCCAAAACGATTCAAATTGAAAAAAAAAAAAATAAAAAACAAAAATTGACGATAAAATTTTAAAGTTACCGAGTGGCAGGTGCAAGTAAAACTTTACACAAACATTTTAATCCACTAGATTCAACATTTTCGCGTTTTATTATTTTATTTTTGTTACTAGGTGCTGTTGTTAGTCCGAATGGCAATAAAGGCAATATATATCCATTAGTTCACGAATCATAACTTTAAATGTGCTGCGAATATTTTTTAATCTTCTCTTTGAATAGTTTTGTAGCTACATTAATGTTTTTATTTATTATTTTATATTAGTAACTTCCTCGTGTATTTATATACCTACTTATTATTATAAGTATACTACTTATTATTATACAGAGGAAATAGGGACTTCCTCCTTTTCTGTAGTCGATTAAAAAAGGGAATGATTGGTGTGTTTATTTTTGGATGCAAAGAAACAACTCAAAAACTAGACCGATTTCAAAATTTCTATCGCCCTTAAGTTACATTATCAGAAATAAAGAAAGAAAACTGTTCTATAAAAAAGAAAAGGAATTTATTCGACTAAATTGAACTCGGTTTTATACAGAACAAAGAAAATCATAATAACTGAGTAACCTAGGGTTAAAGAAGGACCGTATTGCAGAATTCTCATACAGAACCATTTAGGAACACGAACAAATCTGAGAATATTTACTACATTTGCATTCAATTAAAAATTAATAAATACCAGTACTTTACTGCTATAAAATTAATTCTGCAACGATCTTATTCTGGTCTTAAAATTCATAGTAAAATACAAGTGCAAAAAAACAGTAATTCCAACGTATTCCATCACCGGTGGGTAGACATGAATATTTTATCTCTTGCAACACTCGCGTCACCAGCGCACGTCATTTTATTGACAGTGCATGCATTTTATATGAAGAGTCTCACACATATAATGTTGAAAAAGATTTTTTCTAATGGGAAAAACGCTGAAATGTCATGCAGTTTAAGACCTAAGAGGTACGGAAATATATCGTTGGGTGAAAGGCTATTTGTTTTAAGCGTCATTAGGTTAAATGTTCAGAAGAGCCATTTAAAGTCTTCATTTTTAGAAAAAAATCATAAATGCGAATCGTGGAAATAATGTCAATTGAAAGATTTTCAGACCGGCTCTAGATTAAAATTACTATAATTCTACATACTTCATTAATTATTTTAAATTTTAAATTCTGAATATATGACTCTATATCGCGTAAAATGGCGGTTGAAACAAATATTCTTTCACCCGTCGATATCTTCTAAGCAGGCAAAACGAAGAAGATTGATTAAATAATAGAAGAACTCTACCTTATGAAAGACAATAACAATGGCAAAAAAACATTCAAGTCAATTCCTACCAAAAATGACCATAAAACTAATGTGCACAACTAGCAGAGTACAGTGTATTGTGAAAAATCCAAAATGGCCGCCATTACAAACTGGCTGATGTCTTATTTTTGTACGACTTCCCCGATATGGGTAATGAAAGGGCTTGAAAAGTATACTTTAGTACGCGATTTGAAATCCAAAAAGGACATAGAAAATGGCGGATAACTACGATTGCTAAACGCAGTTCATTTTTAAGGCAGCCATATTGGATTTAGAGGCTAGATATCTTACATTCTACTTGTCAAGCCCTCACATATACATGCTGGTAAAACTTGTTGTTAATTATTCACAACTAGACTACCACACGCAACTGGGTAAGTTGTTTGTCGAAAGGACGAAAAATATATTATGCATGCGATAGTCACTTGAGGCCCCCTACTGGAATGAGAAGGCTTCGAAGTATGAGAAATTTAATAAAGCTTTAATGGAAATCATTAAATTATTTTTAAGAAGAGAAAAATGACTTGAAAACATATAGTCATTTCTCTTACTTTGCGCAAAAATCAGGAGTCCTAGCACGAAAATTTGCGAAAAAGCATTCGTAACGTCATCAACAAAATTTGTAATTCGTTGACGAATTAGTTGGTCTACTTTATGTCCAATAGGATCGCTGAAAAATAGAAATTTTCTAGATAAACTTAACAAATTCTCGTAAATATTCGTGCTAGATTGTTAAATTTTAAAAAGCTGAATCTATCTCAGATTTCAGTACATTTAAAAACGCTAACAATTTTTTAAATCCTTACGCATTCTAAGCGTTAACAATTTAGATCCGTTTAAGTTAACCGTGAGCGGAATAGCTCATTTACCTTTTTATACGCTATGAATATATTTGCAGTCATTCAAAAAAACTTCGCCTGGAAAGCTTTATAATTTTGTAATTCAGAAGATATTCAGTAGGGAGGAACGTAGAGCGTCATTTCCTTGGATTTGCATTTACGCTTCACTAATTTCCCCGATAATATTTTTGAATCTAACCCTAAAACCGCCGTATCGACATTTTCATCTCTTTGACAAAACAAAGACAATACATTATTATAAAAACATTCCTCATCATCATCAGCTCCCCTACCTTATCCTACTCCCGTAACAACTACGGGTTTTTGTTCTCCAAATAACTCTATCATCCGTCATCTCAGTCATCACTCCCTTGATCATGTCTGTCACCTTTCACACAATCCATCTCTTTTTAGGTCTACCTCTACCGGTGTACACACTCATAACTAACGTCCTTGTTACATGCGATTCATCTCTCCTCATAACATGCTCATGCCATGCTATGAGGAATAGTTAAAATATTTCTTGTATCAAAGAAAAATCCAAACAGTAAGTAGGATGAAAATTATACTCTCAAAGAAAGCTTACGTTCTTTTCCCTGAGATTCGTATCAAGAACAATAATTGAAAAAGGGATTAATTCAGACTTGTGTCCGGAGACCACGGGACCGAAATCACGGAAGACTTTAGTGATGTGACTAAACAATCGATAAATTGGCAACACATTTTACTGTTTCAAAAAAAAAATGGTTCTGTTGATTCTAGAGTTGTCACATTTATTTTCTGTCGATAATACTTAAAAAAGCAGTAACTTTACATTAAATTTAATTTTGGTTAAAAATTCTTACGTTTCATAGGATAAACAGAAATAGCAAACAAGAGACGAATAACGCTTAAGTTAAGAAATGGGAAAATTTCTAGAAAAGTGTCATGCATGCCAATATAGTGTACTCGTAAATAATGCTTCATAAACATTAATGGCAAAAAACTCAATCACTGATTTACGAAACAAACAAAACCAAAATTCGCAGTCGTCACATCACTATAGGATTGCAAACTTTCTGATTACGATCGTCGACTAAATCCCTTCTTAAGAACTTTCGAGCAAACTCCATTAACAAAATACCACAGCTTGGATGCAATAGCATTCCACAACAATAGAACATTTGAAGACATTCCAGAACATTCGAGAACGCTCCAGAATGTTCTACTAAGCGATATAACATCGTGACGGTCGCAAACATCGTTAAAGAGTCTGAAAGTCACCGTAGTTCTTGCAATTGAATTACTTTTCGTTGCAGTTTAGAAAACACAAAACAATGCTGAATAAATTCCGTTATTTACAGAGGCAGTTTTAAGTAGAATATAATATTAAAAAAATATATAATTAACCCTAATTTAAAGCAAAAATTGACAAGATAGCAAAAAAAGCTGAAAGATCAGACAACCTGAAATTACAGATTATATACATTTGGTAAATCTTTTAGTATGCATTTAGTGAAATCTCTAAATTATAAAATTAATAAAAAGCTACACCATTACCATTGCAAACGACTAGAAAAAAGTTATCTTCATATCACAAATCAACATTTTTTCTCCATTAAAATCATCTGGGTCGAAAATCAACAGATACAAAATTTGCAGTCGCTTCAAAAACCTTCAAAAATTGGCTAATTTCCTAATGTGTTAATTTTTAAATAAACATAGCAGATTTAATTCAAACAAATTTGAATTGTATGGGTACATACCGTGCGCGTAATTTTCGTTTTCATACATTTCCCCCATTTTTCTAAAATTACCTTTAACAAAGGTTGAAAAATTTTAAAATAAAATTTCAAACAAAACGCACAAGTATAAAAATACAGAAAAGATCCGAAACATGAGCTATAGATGATACGAATAATATAAGATTTAAAAATAATAATATTCTTTACGCATATATTTTAAATAGATTAAATATTATAATATACTAATAATGCTGAATAAATATATTGTAATACGATATTAATGTTAAAAGTGCATGTTGAAATGTAAAATTCAAACTGTTATACCGTAAAAGTACAGATGAGATGTAAAAGTACTGTTAAGATGTAAAAGTGGACACTTTTGTGATGTAAAAATAGATAATGTAAAGTGCGATGCTGTTGAAATGTAAAAGTGCGTACTGTTTTGATGTAAAATTCGATATCGGAATGTAAAACTCTTTACTGTCGGAATGTAAAAGTTGTCGTATGTTGTCAACTTACTATAGGGCTGGGGTCTTCCCCCAGTGTACTGCGGGGACTGGAGAAGCGGGGCGCTGCGTTGCACCGGCAACGAGTCCTCTGACACTGCGAACACGTATACAATCAGATTAAGTACATGCTACCAAACATTACTATAATGTTTATGGAATACTAGCTTTCGCCCGCGACTCCGTCCGCATGGAATTAAAAAAACTCAAAAGTAAGTAGCCTATGTATTCTACCAGATTATTCTCTACATCTATGTCAAACTTCATCCAGATCTGTTCAGCAGTTTAGGCTACAAACTCTAACAAACATCCATCAAAACTTTCGCATTTACAATATTAGTAAGATCACTATTGGAAGTGACGATTGAAATGAAGACAGTGGGCGAAAAATATATGCGCCAACCCTATGTGAATTAGATAAGAACATGGACAAACAAGATCATCATTCAGCCCTTTCCTTTTCGTAGGGTTGGCACAGTACTCTTCCATACATCTCCATCAGCCGTCATATCTGAATTAATTCTCACGCATATCCTCTCTCATACACTTCTCTTATACTCCAAGATGGAAATAAACAAAACACAATCGAAATTATTATTTTCCAAATGTCTAGCAGAACATAAATATTCGTAAAAGTGGGATATTGGTTTCAAACTTAAATATGTGTATAATTTTGTGTACTGTATGTGTGTAGAATTAGCGTAGCATAAAGTAATAAATTACATGCTTTAGAAACATTAAATTATCATATTAAGGAGGATTAAAACAATCCAGATGATCCAGACATGATGACAGGTTAAGCAAATAAAACTGACAGATGTAAAGTAATTTAAAAGCAATAAAATATAAAGATGAAAACATCGAATCCCAAGTAATCTATACTTCTATACTAATATAATAAAGCGTACACACACACTTCTTTGTTGCCTAAGATGTCTGCAATTGCAGCATATTTTTAAATAATTCTTTTTTTAATAATAAGCCCTACACTTACGTCACGCTTTAGGCTACATATTTTACGCCATTAAACTTAGAGGTAAACATTTTGGATAAAAACCCTAATGTGGGAGAGAGACCATAAGTCGTTGCCAACATCAAGGAAGCAAGATTGCCAACGTTTGCTATGTCATTTTGACATTTGACAGATGGAAACAATAAAATAAAGTTTGTATAAATTCATGCGGATGAAGCCGCACGGGAACAGCTAATAGGTAATATTTGTGAAGCTAAAAACGAAAATAAATCAATCAAAGATGAAAGAGAAACATTTCACGGTAAACGAATACGTCTATTCTATACATATAATAAAATTGGAGTGTCTGTGATATGAAAAGAAAAGTTCCAGATTTCGGGAAGATGTATTTGCGTTACTGATAACTAAAATCGCATTTAAAAATATTTTGTCTGTCTGCCTGTCCGCGTTTGTTCTGGGTAATCTCCGAAACGGGGCAGATTTGGACCGGATTATCACTGACATGTAACTGACATAGACGGGCATATTATAGTACTTTATCTGATTGCGCGGACGGAGTCGCGGGGAACAGCTAGTAGTGAATAAATTGATAGAAATAATTCCGACAAATTGTAGATCATTTTACTAGATAAATCATCCGAGAGAAAAAACGATGGAACGAGATAAGAAACTAGATTTATTGAATACAACATTTTCATTCGTATAAAACATTTTAAAAACCTCACTGGAAGTGAAATTATATGTTAGAAAAAAAATGATTTACAAACGGACATAGAGTTATCATTTAATCATTAAATTGCTTTGAAAATCAATAATGTGAAAGCAAACATAGTTCATATTGAAGATAAAGTTAATATAAGTAAACAACTATACTAATAAAAAGATGAAAGATTTGTATTTAAATAACTCAAAAACTACTGTGTCAATTTCAAAAATTCTTCCACCGTTAGAAAGGTAATTTATCATTGACTAACATAGGCTACAATTTATAATTTCACGCGAACGAAATCACGGACAACAGCTAGTAATTAAATAACTAAATTAACTAGTTGAATATATCATGAAGCTTGAAAAATATTACCAAATGAAAACCAAGAAAAATAATTTTTAAAAATTTGGAAGCAAGCCAACAATAGTACTTAGTTATTTCTTCTAGAGTGCATTCAACTACTATACCATAATCCCAAAAATTACGACATTGACCTAAACAAGAAAATATAAGGAAAAAAGATCATAGCCATTACTAACATATGCTCCGATAATCAAGGCAACGAATTCTAGAGACCGAGAAATTTATTCTGGAACATACGACGAGATACTAAAAAAACAAAAGAACGGCAAATCAAATTTGCTAACAAGGAATATTTCAGTAAAACAGATTTACACAAACAAATGACAAGAACATTTAATATACGTATTGTAGTGTATGGCCACACAGTTTACTTGTGTCATGGTGTCATGCCAGCAAGTCATTTGTGTCCGAGCCACCGACGGGAGCAGACGTCCCAAGCATACAGTACACGTATAATTTCTATCCCAAATATTACAAAACATGTAAATATTATTTTCCTAATTAAAACAGATTAAAAAAGATACAAACAAAAGGGGCTCCGAATAACATTTTATCAATCTTTTAGGAGTCTAAATTTCGTTATGTTCATAAAAATCAAAGGTTCAAACTCATTCACATACTAGACATACTTAATAGACTTAAAACTACCAGTATTCTGTGCAGATAATATCTCTATTCTAAATGACAAATACATAAGCAAAATGACTAACAAGAATATAAAACATCTTATGCTAAAACAAAACACAGAAATTACCACAACAACGACACCTATACAAACTTTTTCTAGAAAAAGGGATTTCCCGAAATTATTAATTATAGCAACTTATATAAATGCAACAAATTTAACAAGTTTCTTAATTCCGATTCTAGATTGCATTTTAATATCATAGTTAAATTGATTGTTCAAAATGTGTTTTCTCTACTATACTATTCTTGGCCGTACCGCTATCTTAAATTATTGCTGTGTCTATTTTTCCAAGTAAATGATAGGACCATTATCTTTAAATACTAGCTGTCACCCGCGACTCCATCCGCGTGGAATTAAATGAAAAGCAAGTAGCCTATACGTTCCTCCAGCCTATACTCTACATCTATGCCAAATTTTATCAAAATCCGTTAAGAGATTTAGGTTAAACACTCTAACAAAAATCTAAACTTTCGCATTTAGAGCGGACGCACACGTTTGACTAAACTATCACACAACTGTCGTGCGATTGTCGTGTTTCGCGGCCAATTCAACTGTTTTCACAACTAAAAATCTAGTAGTGTGTACTCTATATAGGCTCATAACAATCAAAGCGAGATTACACAGTTGTGCGATAGTTTACTTTCAGTTGTATTAGCGAGATGTACAGGGTGATTCTCAACGGACGGATCACTGGTTTTGTGGAGTTAGAGGACTAGCTATTGAGGAGCTAACGATACCTATTGAGGTCCTCTAACTCCACAAAGCCGTCGATCAGTCCGTAGAATCTGTATAGTGCAACGGACGTTTTTGTTGTGACAATACAACACTTACCGTAACAACTTGTCGGAAGTCCTCACAAGCGGGAACACCGTCACTCCCCTGCACATATAAAGGCGAACACACTCTTAATTTCGTCTTTCTAACTATCAACGCATTCGCGTTTATGGCATGCCATTTCGACATTCAATAAGCTACAAATAATAAACAATCAACAAAAATAAAACCCGTCTTCGTAAGAAGGTATACGTGTTTTCTGAGACATTATAATCGTGTGTGTTTCGTTGTTTTGTTATACTGTTCAGTGCAAACACATTATTTTGTTCACGTTCCATAATGTCTATCTAAACCATCAGAGTGTGTTTGTCTTTAGTTATATGTGCATGGAAGATTAAACACTATATATCTATGGTTAATATACTGTACAATCAAGGAGAAAACCATAGATAATTAATATTTCTCCTCAATTATACATTCGTATGTTAATAGTTACGCTGTAGTGGGACGCTATGTTTTACAATCTTGTAGTACCTATAACAATTATATAAAAGCTATAACAGTGTCAAAATTTTGATTTCAAACTCTTATAAAGGGGGACAATTTCTTATATATTTAAACCCAATAAAATAAAATATATCGAATTGTTTCTTAATCTTTAAATTACAAAAATATTAAAACTAAAAAAATTAACTAAAAAACGAAATTATCCTTGAGGCTATATTTGAATTTATAGCTCAATATGAATCAATTTCTTTTGTATTTTATATTTTTATTTTTATAACTTTCTATATATTTGATTACGACCACTAGATGGGCCTTAAAAAATTGTCTCATCCCTTAAATTCCCAATCAACTTAATAACATAAGATATATCAAAACTTTGACAGTAATGTAAGTCACAATAAGCGATACATACCATTCCTTGATGTCCAAAGCAAAAGCTTTAATTCTTGCAAGCAACGTGACCTGTGTCTGGTAAACTGTGTGAAAACCATCAAAAAGTACACGCCATTACCGCCCTTAAATTTGTTTTAAAACACTT